TCTAAAACCAGGCTGGTCAACCAGTGAAAACCAGTCAACCAGCCTAGGCTGGTTTAAGCTGTTTTTTCAGCTGGGTATACAAACTATTCATCTAATTTGCATTTACAATTTTTCTCACGTAGACTGAATTATGCTATTTACAATGGTATGAAACATTATAGGGGTGGTCAAATGGATATCTAATATTTTAATTAATAACATCTTAAGGGGGTCAAGCTTTAATTAGGGGGATCAATCCCCCCAAACCCCCCCTGTAATTCGCACTCTGCTTCTAACGCAGTGTCTTTAGGACAGGACAGTAAATTTGACGTTGTTCTCTTTTCTGGCTGCCGTTACTAGTTTCACACAGTTTTCTTTTTCTGGAGGTCTTGAAATCACCACCATTGTGTGTTAATGGCAATAACAGAACAGGTATTGCTGTGCACACCACATGTAATGTAAAGTATAAATTCCAGTGTCAGACATTTTAATTTTCTGTCCTTTTTATGTATTTGACCCAGTTAAGAACTGTTAAAGTATATTCATTTGTTTCACGGAGGAAACAATATCTACCCAAAACTAAACGTTTTTGGGTGAACTTTAAGCAACCGTAATGTCCGCTACTTGCTGATATGTTAATTTTTGTAAGTATTAACATGGCTCTGTCAAACAATAGATTATTAAGAAAATGAATAAATTCTTAAATAGTTAAAAAAATTAATCCCTATTAAAATACATACATATATAAATTAATATGTCGCTGTCTTACCTTTTAATATCTTCCAGTCTTTGTGCTTCGTGTTCAATATATATTATTAAGTGATCGATGAGTTTTCTTTCTGCAGAAACAGTCTGATTCACGCTCATCATCGAAGTGAACATCTCGCCGAATGATTCGTCAGGCATATTAAGTAAGTATAAAACTATAAAAAGGGTAAAGTATGGACACATCTTAACAAGGAAGATTACAAAAATATCTCACATAGTAAAACGCTGACTGTATTATTCCACAGCTTTTCATTCTTCCTCGGGGCTCACCGCACAGCCCACGATGAGCCATCAGCATTTGTGTGTGTGTGTGTGTGTGCATGTGTGTGTGTGTGTGTGTGTGTGTGTGTGTGTGTGTGTGTGTGTGTGTGTGAGAGAGAGAGAGAGAAAGAAAGAGAGAGAGAGAGAGAGACAGAGCGAGCTGGGTGGGGTGGGGTGGGGTGGGGGGTGATGGGGGTAAATAATACAAGTAAAATTGTGATAGGGCCAGCCCAAGCCTTCAGGGGGCCCTAAGCAGGATTTTATTTGGGGCCCCCTTGGTGCAAACAATATGACAAATTATCGTCATTCCTTGATAATTCGCACACTATACATTTAAAACACATATCGATTTTATTCGCTGTAGCTGTGTTGCTTACATCATAAAAATATATGTTTTAAGACAATTCTAAATATTATTCTGCAGAAACAACTTCCTATTGATCCAACTTTTTATATGACTACTTGCCACAAATCTAAATAATTAGACACAAAACATTAACATGGGCTGGCAGAAACAAAAACAGCTGGAAGTAGCCAACATACTTACTTTTTATTATTATTCAAGACGCTGCCAAACAGTCAAACATAGTGACAATAAAGATACCTTTTTTAAATTGGATATAAATGTTAACACTGAAAAAAAAAATATTGTATTTTGTAGTTCAAATAACTTAAAACATCTATTTAAATTAAAATCAAATTAAATCAGGAAGCATTTTTAGACATACTCGCATATCAATCAAATTACTAAATATGTACAAATATTGTTCAGTTTTCAGAAATAATTCTAAATTAAGTGAATTTTTTTGTAAAACAAATTAATCTGCCAATGAGATAAATAAAATAATCTTATTTAAAACCTAAAACAATATTTTTATTTACCCTAATTGGCAGATTATGGAGCTTTTTAAATGAAAAATTCACATTATTTTGACTAAATATCCTTCTAGAAAATGCTTTTTGGTTTAAGAATTTTTAGATATTTGGACTTAAAATCACACAAAAACTATAAGAAAGAAAATCATTTTTGCAGTGTATTTACCAACAGTTAATTGTATAAATCAGAAGCTTATTTTTTTTTAATCGCCACGTTCATTAAAAAAGCATTTTGCTGCTTGTTCCGGGCACTGCTGCTTCAATCACGATATCAATGATTCTGCGATATATTGATAGATCACAAGAAAACCAGCCACAATATATCACAAATTTGGTAAATGAAGGGGGAAAATGCATCAAAAATTTATGATGAATTTATTTTATAAACGCGCACTTATATAATTGCAACAATGTAAAACAAGTAAACATCTGTCAAACGAGCTTAAAAATGCTGATATGCAGAGAGCAGTTTATGACTGAAGAGAGCACATCTCTATCACAGCAGCAAAATCTCAATTTAGTGGAATATGCATTTAAGAAAAAAACTGCCAAAATAGTATTTTATTGCTTTCTAATTTTCTGTAAACTTAAAACACTTATTACAACTTGACCAACTAATTTTATGTAAACATGGAAACATTTTATGCTTAGCCCTGGTTTATTTTTAATAAAAAAATATGTATTCCCACTATTTTTTCAACTGATCAGAATGCTCTGAGAGGTGAGCACACACTCCTTTGAGCACGTATGTTTTCAGCAGTTGAGAACATTAGTTATTTATTTACTCATCTCTATTTTTTAGTTTTTTAATTCCCCTAATATTTTTTTTTGCCAAAATACCTTCTACAAGACTTTGACAAGGTCTGTAAGAGTCAAACAAACGCAAGGCCCTTCTAATTAAATGTTCATGTCTTATTGATATCTTTATAGCCTATATTTTGGCCGAGTTAAAAAGTTTGAGCACAAGTTGCACTGGCCGCGGGCACGCGCGAGCGATTGCAAAGTGAAAGCGCGTCTGTTAGAAAGAAACTAGTGGCAAATTCGGGGAGCTGGATGTCTGAAACACACAAATACATTGGCCCAGCTTGGACAGAAGAAAGTTTCTGTATGCCTGAGATTTTCACCAATGCAATAGTAGCTCATCTGTCTGTCAGTTGTTTACATGACGCTGATGTATGTCCCATATCCGCCGACCGCTGTTACGAGAAGCGCCACCTGGTGGCGGCTTGGTGTACAGTAGCTAAAGCGGTTATCTGCTGCAGTCAGTGTGGAAAACTGATTAATTAAGTCAGATCTTTTGTAAATTTAGGTAAATATCTTGGCGCCTGAGTATGTATCGCGGTCAGAAATAACACTATAAATGGGCATATATTTTGTCCCACCACTAATTCACAACTCAACAAACTAAAATGAAAATCACACAATAATTTCAAGCACTCTTGGGGGCCCCCTGGTGGCCACAGGGCCCGAAGCAGCCGCTTAGTTCGCTTATGCCTTGGGCCGGCTCAGTTGAGCAACTAAATAAATGCAAAAGTTTATTTAACTGAATGTATGTTAATGACATTACAACATCGATGCTGTATAACCGTATAAAATGGAAAAAAGGTCACAATAACAGGTCACCGGAAGTGTATCAGCATGGAAACAGCACTAGCTCGGCATATACCCTATTTAAATAGGAACTTATATACATCTAATATATCTAGAAAACTACAGGAGTATTACATACTAAGCAACAGAATCCTGTGGTGCCACAGAAATGTTTAAGTGATACCACACACTACCACAAGAATACCGCAGGAGTATTACATACTGTACAACACTGAATCCTGTGGTAAAACATCCCCAAAAAAACAACAAAGTACTACACATTTATTACATGATTTTTGTTTTGTACATTTGATGGTTTACCACAGGAAATACCACATGCTACCACAAAAATATTACAGGAATATAACAGTAATACCACACGCTCTACCACAAGAATATCCCAGGAATATTACATATTGTATAACAGAATCCTGTGGTAAATACTACCACAATATGAAAGTGATACACTACCACAAGAATACTACAGGAGTATCACATACTGTACAGCACAGAATCCTGTGGTAAAACGTCCCAAAAAACAACAAAGTACTACACAGTTACCACATAACATTTGATGGTTTACCACATAGAATACCGCAGGTAATGTTTGTAATGCAGGGTGTCGGTCATCTTGTTGTTTCAATTGCAAATTTATTCCAGTAAATAAATTCCAGTACAAACATTTGCACACTGAAAAGTTTTTACAATAAATATGAATACATGTGATGTTACTTTGTAAGAATAGGTATTTCTTAATTAAACTACTTAAATGCAGAACATACTGATTTTACCTTGCACTGAAAAAAAAAAATGTTTTAGAAAAAAACAGAACAAAAAAGCTAATTCTTGTGATATTGTACTGCAGAAATTGCTGTAGCAATCCTGTGATATTTAGCTGTGTTGGTATTACCACACAAAAACATCAGAGAAACCACATACTTCATCCAATGGTAAATTCCTGTGAAATTTTACTGCAGAAAGTGCTGTAGTAATCCT